ATTTAAAAATATATTCGACGAGAAAAACAACTTTCAGTTGAATTTAAAAAGTAAATTCCGAGGTAAATTTGACAACAGTCTACAAGAATTGCATAAGAAAAAATAAAGGCAACTTTGTTATAAACGTACATGAAGTACTCCAGCGTGGAGGCTTAAGCACTGATGTGTTGGACCGCGGGCGCAACAATTATAGGGAGAGAGAGGAAATAATAAAGGGATGAAACATCAGAATTTGCTTTGTTTCAATGCCTTTTAAAATACACTAATGAACTACAATTATTAAAACAATTGAGCGAAATTTTTACAGTAGTAATCCTTCAACGGTCCTATAGGTCAAAACAACGAAAATGTTTCATTGCACATGTAATTTTGCTGTAAAAATATTCCTCTTATTTTCACGATATGTGTTCTGCAAGTAGCCAGGACACTACGTCATCATCGGATCATCGCCAACTGTTCGGAATACTACGAGAGCTTGCGAGCATTTAACGAAAATCATAACAAAAAATTTGGCGGAAAAGTTCTTCGATATTACCACAGATTAACACCCAGATGTCGCACTTCTGACTCAAAAGCGTAAGCGATTCGTCACTGCGCATTGCTTTCTGCGCACGCTTAGCAAGTGACTAGAGGCATCCCCCCCCGAAATAAAATTTCAAAATGGAGACGAACTGAATTGAAGTGAAAAACAGCACGATGTGTCAAATGAGTGGGAATATATGTACATTTATTGATTTGTACAGGAAGTTCCATTCAATGTAAAGATATTCAAACACTTTTTAAAAGAAATATGTTTGAAATTATGGAGATTTCTACTGCTTATAACTTTCCGCTTCTACGACAATCGAAAAAAGATAAAACATTCGTACAATATTGAAAACGAGGTACTCTAAATTCATTTTTCCAAAGCGCGTATAGGTGATGATGGATTCAGACACAAACTTAACTACACAGTCGCCTTCTCTAGCAAATGAGAGGAGGTTTTTTTCCATGTATAAAATAGTTCGACTCCATTTTGAAATTTCGAGGGGGGGAATGCCTCTAGTCACTTGCTAAGCAAGCGCTTACGCTTTTTTAATCAGAAGTGTGGGTAAGCATCTGGGTAATCTGTGTTATTACTGAGTAAACCACTGAGCTATAAAATAATTCCTGGAGGACCGGCTCCTAATCGGAAAGTTAAGCCACAAACATGGCGGATTTTGAGCTTTGTGACGTCACCTGGTCCCCTTTGCTAATGGTAATTACAACTGACATACCGCGATACAAAGTGAAAAACTATGTGTCTCCCTCCTGGTTTTTACAAAAATATTTTTGATTTTCGGTATATATTTTTTTCGTATTTCCTCTAAAAAAGATAAAATTATTTATCTTTTTCCTGTTCGACAAAGTAAATGGAGAAGCTGCTTCTTGCTCTACATATGACGTTGTGAATGGCTTAATTCACTTATCGGGAAAGCTATTCTTGCCTCAGGTGAGCCGGTTTTCAAATTATTTTCTTTTTTGATCTTTTTTGCCTTCGGACTATAGTATAAACAACTGCAAAAGCGTCTGGATAAATAGTTATATGCTTTTATTAGCCTTTTTGTCCTTTGGTACCTGACTTAATTACGATAGGATTCATAGGAAAACTTTTTTGTGTCCGGCGAAAGTTATCAATAGTTAATCTTGTGAGTTTTGACGTGCTGACTGCTGATCTGATTGATTTATAATCAATCTACATTTAATTTGCTCTTAATGTTGATTAGTATTATTGTTATTCTTTCTGGGTGCAGAGTACTGTATATATTGAATACAGTTAATCTTAATAAGATCTCCATTTTTCAGGATGAAGATGCTATAAAATTTAACAAGAGATGGCTTGTTATGCAAATTACTGGAACATTGTACTGATAATTTTACTATATAGACTTGTTGGCTGCTGTTGGGAGACATTTTTTACACTGGTTTTCCAGATTATAAATAATAAATAGATGCATAAAAACATGCCTTAATTGAGCAGTGTGTCTTCATTCTGCAACAACTTTTATAATTTCCTGGAAAATGCATTTCCCCCCCGACACCATTAAACGGCTAGAATTATTGGGCTAATCAGGGTTTTTGGATAATAGACTGACTAATTGAGGGGTGAACAAGCACAGTTGCATTTTTGTGAATTCATTAGGCTATTATATTTGTACTACTCTTGCTATTAGGTATAATTTCATATCAAATACAAAGCATCAATGACTTTTCTTAGGTCACACAAGGACACCTTTACAGGTTTACTAAAGTGCATTAAAAAAAGCGTATACATCGTCTGTAGCTCATTTAGGCACAAGGAATGCCATGTAAATATTACTTCTGGTTATAACTATTGTTTCCCCCACTCAGTACAATTGCTAATCTGCTGCCCAATATCTTGCATGAGCTTAGGCCTTGTTTCTTTGGATTTAATATGCACAGGCATGGACACAGGACAACATAACTGGATACTTTCTGGTTCAGGGTTTAAGAAAAGTCAGATTGGTATCCATAAAAGACACTAAAAAATTACGATGATACGAAAAAAAATTTTATACGGTAATGTATATTGAAATTGAAAACAAAGAAAAGAGAAAAAACCTGTCAGCTTCATATCATTGTAAAATTTTCGACTTTTGTCCACGTATTAAATATTTTTTATATTCGCCCAATATTTGTTTGTTTCAGCATTTGCAAAAACAGTACCTATGATTTGTACATAACCGAAATAAACGCTTTATTACGCGTTAGGCAAAAAATATATCGAAAAAAAGAACAACAAGGTTTCAAAGCAGTTGGAAGAAACAAAAATACAAAATTTTCATAAAAACCAGGGGGGAATTACTGCAGCGGGCTCAGAATTGAGCCTGGTCAGTGGTATTACCATGGGCAAAGGGGACCAGGTGACGTCAAAATGACGTCACAGAGGCCAAAATCCGCCATGTTTTTTGCTTCACTTTTTGATCAAAAAACATTAGTAGCCGGTCCTCCAGGAATTATTGTATAGCTCAGTGGAGTCACAGTTTAGAGATATACAGTTGTGTAACTCGCGGCGGAACCCTTTGATGTTGCTCTCCCTCAATTCCAAGCGCTCACGCCATTTTCTACGCGCCACGCAAATTGCAAAAGAGCGTGTCAGACCGTGTCACTGGCTGAATTTATATACAAATTGTCAGCAAAACAGCGTTCGAACGCTTAAAAATGCTTATTTGACAAAGGTTGTTTAAACTATGGAGATTTGAGGAGTAAAATTTTGCAAAAAAATGGTCAGTACTTTATATATCTTTTTCTTTCGTTCAGTAGAAAACGTCTTTTATGAAAAATTGCGAAAAAAAATTGATCTAATTTTATGCTTCAGCCTTTGTGTATTAAAATTACAAATGTCGCACAAATACAAACGATAAATATGTGTTTTTGTCATGGTTATACCCAGTTATCTTTTATTTATTTTCATATAATTTCTGTCTGTCTATGAAAATTCCTGTCAAAACCATGAAAGTATTTTTTTTTTCATTTTACCAAATTACAGGAAGTGATAAATAATAAACTGTCAGTGATGAGGTTTGACAAATAAGTATAGCTCCATATTCTGTGCTTATATGAGGATTTATAGGATGGACCTTTCATTCTTCTGTTAAAGGGAATCCAATAATAAATGGATATTATATCGTTTCATGTATCATTACACAAATGTTTATACAGTTTCATGTATCATTACACAATTGAATATAAATTATTTTCAGTGATTTATAGTCAATTTCAGCCACTGTTGGTCCTTATGTGTCTTTTTTATTAGTATCTATCAAGCTGGTTTGGATGCTATTTCATGTTCACAAGAAATGTGCCACTGGGAAAAGCACTCATCAATGAAAAGTTTGCAGAAAGCACTAGTGAATTGTAGATGCATGTGTTGGATTGTTGGAATGCATCTGCTAATATTGCCAAAACATTCTTTAAGCTTTGTGATCAAAGATTGGTTTAGCTATACCTATATATACAGTTGTATACATCACAAAACAGAGCAAATATCATAGAAGTGATTGGAAAAATAAATCCGCAAAAAACTATTTCAAGTGTATTTTATTAAATCTAAATACTGAATAGAAGTTTACCATTTAAAATTTAACTACAATCTATAGCTGTCATTAATGTGAGGTAGTACAGTTTATCTTTTATATTTATCAAGTTTATCAATTACAGAAATACTAATTCCATTGATTTTGTGTTTTTTAGAATGCATGCCATTTGCTTGTCAGCTTGTGTTTGTGCTTGTGAAACTAATGCGTTTTGGCAAACACACTAGGGCATCGGTAACTGGCCCATAACAAAGAGAAAAACCTGCAGTATTTTCCTTCTAAGTTAATCCTTGTAATTAATATGAAATGTCTACGGTGTAGCCTAACAACATATCAAAAGGACATGGTAAAACTCCATTTAAGTTTGTGAAAACTTGTTCTTCAGCAACATCGATTTGACCAGTCACTCCTCGAATCCTATTTATTTAGTTTTTCCCGTTTCAAAAAGGTTTATTTACACCAATTCCTGATAAAAACGTGCAGCTCCAACTCCTTTTATAAAATACGCGACAATGAAGCAAATCCATTAGATAAATTCGCCAAAATCGTTGTTTTACTGCAAAAATTGACTATTTTCCTAGCTTTTTCTATACTAAAAGAAGCCATGACACGGTCTTTTGCTTCGCACGTGCGGATAACTATGCGGGGGACAAGAATTCCTGCGAGTTCCACAACTGTATATCCTTAAACTGTGGTGGAGTAAACAGAGACAAATGTCTTTCCGCAATAGAAACATTATTTGGATTTGATATATTTTATGTCTGTCAGCAGTCCAAGTTATGTAAGTATGATATATGCCAAACGAACGCTGAGAATGTTATTTTAGTAATGTTTTTTCGGGCGATTTATATACTATCTTTATAACGAATAGAGATTCTTGAACGTTGTATCCCTAGGGGTGAACTGCTCTGAAATCAAGAACAAATGAATGTTCTTGACCTTGCTTTGGCAGGCCACAATGTTTTCTTTTGTGGTTCCGGCGGTACGGAGAAAACATTTACGGTTAAACGACTGGTAAATATCTTGGGCTCGAAGAGAAAAGTTGTTATAACATGTACGACAGGAATGGCATGCAAGCTGGACTAATAAATCCCCGTATGAATGTAGAAACGTTGATAAAATCTGTCCATAGTAGAGAAAGCTGTTCGTCAAGATGGAAGACCACTGATGTATTAATTATAGATGAAGTGTCCCAGCTGAGCAGGAAGACATTTGAAACAATAAATTATATTGCCCAGGGAGTGAGAGGTGATGAAAAACCATTTGGAGGAATACAAGTGATAGCACTTGGTGATTTTAAACAACTACCACCAGTTTCAAATGACTTAGACCAAGGTAAATATTGTTTTGAAAGTCCACTCTGGAAAATAATGTTCTGCCACAATATCCAGCTGAAAGTTGTCTATAGACAGGAACAAAAGGATTTCATTGATGTCCTTGATCAGATTGCTGTTGGTGAGATGTCTGAAAGTGCACTTCATTTTATATATGATTTGAGTTTAAACAATCTGAATGAAAATGACTTTGGTTTGAATTTTATACCTCATATATCTTGCACAATCTTCGATGCCAATTTTCAGGGGTAGATTACTTTATTTTGTGCCTGCGACCGCAAAGTTTTGTTGAAAATGTGCCTGAAAAATGTGTGCATACAAAATGCAAAACATGACTTGATGAGCAATCAGCCATAACTATAATCGCCGTTTACTTCACCAGACTTAACTAAGGTTATTATTCCCTTTAAGAGCATTTTTTTCATTATACAAGTTACAGAGTCAGCAAAAAATTTTTTGAAGGGGTATGGTGATAAAAATCAAAATCTGAAAAAAATTTTTGGTTACTCATTAATGACACTAATTATTGAAATACCCCAGCAAAAATGAATTACATTGAGTAACTAGAAAACTGAACTAAACACTAAAAGTTATTTGTCCATAACTGGAAGCTTTGATTGTTCTTTTAACTTTCTATCAATTACTTTAGAAACTTCAAATGGTTGAATCTGAATACATTCAGACTTCCTGATAAAATGCCAAAAATTATCTTTCTTTGATTCTTTTCGCCAATACTCGGTCATCGCGGCTTTTACAACTCCTCCACAGCGAGAAATTATGAAGCCATTCAAAGAAATATGCATCTCCCGTCGTCCCCTATCCTCTGATACATTTCTCTGCTTATTGATTCGTGATTCCTACACCGAAACGTGAGATTCAACCACCGATTCAACTGACATTGAAACAGAAGCGACTGAAAAGACATGAATCACCATTTCAATTCCGAGATAAAGTCCTTTTGACGAGTCAAGGAACATCTTCAAAACCTCCATATTCTCAGGAAGATCTTTCTCTTTTATACCTTTTGTCACTTTTTCTAAACGACGCAAAAATTCTTTATATTGCGCGGCTAATTCTACATCGGGTAATTGGATAACGTTTGATGCGACTTTCTTTCCGTTGCTGACAAATGTTTTTGCCTCTACAGATCCAATCATGCTAGATCCTCGTAATTGACTTTTTTTGCTAGTCTTTGCAAATCGAGTAGAGGTCTTAATTGTTCAACCAATGATGTGGCTTGGTCGTCGAAAACGTGGACCCTTAAGTCCTGGCTGAACCGCTCTGCCAACTTCTTCAGACGTGATGATGCTGTTGTCACTACGTCCATTGTTTGGTTTTGCACAACTGTAAAATAGCCACGTCTTGTTCTGTTCTGCTCGGGTTTATCGTCCAAAATTGGAATACCCCGATATTTGCCAGTTGCGATAGTACTCTGCAAGTCAGAGTGGTATTTAGGCCAGAGACAAATCTTCTTTCCTTCTTTGGACATAGGACATTTTTCATTGCATTCAATAACCTTTGACATCTGCAGCAACTTCTCTGTGCAAACTTCATGAAATTTATTGAAACGTTCATGTGGTAGAATATTTACTATTTGTAGGATGTTGATGCCATGGCCGAACGTCGCGTAAATATCGCAAACACCAGAGAGTGTTAAAACTAACTTCTTGTTTGCAAGTTTGTTCTTAAGCTGTGCTGCATCTAAGGCAGTTTGTCTGCTTTTCGCATCCCCGTGGCACCAAAGTTATTCATTTGGGTTTCCTCCAACGTACTGAAAAGGGCTGGATAGCCCTTAATACCTAGTTGTTCATAGACTTTCGCACAATGGTTGGCAAATTTAGTCTCGCTATAAAACATAGGGAGGCCGCAAAATACGTCTGCATCGAAACTTTCATCCGATTTCAATCTTTCCGCGACAGAAAAAAAATGTTCAAATTCTTGTCCCCAGTTAATAGCTTTGAACAAAGAACTGATATCTTCCGTAATTTGAACGAGCCACCTGAACTGGGCTTCTTTTCTAATTGCTGCATCTCTAGTACCAGCAATGTGCATTGGATCCCAGTCTGAGAATTTCCTGTTTGCGCCAGTGAATCCAAAGTGACCATCTAACAATTCAGGAACCGAAAGGTGATGATATTGTCCATCATAAGAACCTCCTTGATATTGTTCCGCGGTAATACCCTTTTTGCTCAAAAGATCGATTAAACTCTGTGCAATGGCTGGACCTGTATGGCCACCATTAACCACATGGATATCGAAGAATATTGCTTGGATAAGGTCGGTGGAGTTAGGCACAACAGTAGTAAAAGAAACAAACTGCCGCGTTCTGTGTTTATATGTTGCTTTATCAGCAACTACTTTTCCAACTGGTTGAAACCAGTTTGGTCAAGTCGATTGTTCAGGAAATTATTCACTCGGTGTTCAACCTCTTCTGCAACATAAGGAAGAAACTTAGCAGGAAATTTTTCACAATGATTGAGCTCGCCGATATCTAACTCATTCACTCACTGGAAAAGTAATAAATCCGGGAAGTCTGTTTCTGGTCTTCCTTTCTTAAACAGATAATAGCAAGTCTTTCCAATTTTCACTCCAACTGAGCGTTCCCTCCTCTCTTCCTTGTTTTTCAACTTTTCTGCAGACACAGCATCATCCAAATTACTGTTGTGCAACACCCCCGTTAAATGCCGTGTAAGATGTTTTTTAAATTTCGAAAGGCTTCGGACTGCACATCACGATTAAACTCCGGATTAGAAAGAGGGTCTTCGTCTATCGCTGGATTATAGGAGAAGATTCCACGCACCATTTTGTCATGTCGAACTTGCTTTGCTTGTTCAGTTATCGCACATACAGTGCATATCATGACCGATCTTTCTTCATCAAAAGAAAATTCACTTAGTTTATCAGTTATTTCAGTAACAGAAGTACATTGCAACAAGAGGTCTCTTGTAAGGTTGTCATTTGACTCATTTCTATGAATATCATTTCTATTAACAGTTCCTGAACTTCTTGGAACTGAAATTGTTGCAGCTTCTTTTTTGCTACTTCTTACTTCTACTGTCAGTTCGTCTACCTTTTTTATTAGCTGTGCTAGGATTTCCCTCGTGCTTTTCCTATTTTCAAGGCTTTTCTCATTACTTTCTTTGAGAATTTGTGCTTCATTGTACTCCTGACGATCAAACGTTTCCTCTTGGAGCTGAAACTGACTAGTCTGATCATCCTCGTCGCCTTTAGCTTCGCATTCCTCCGTATGATCACGTTCGTTTTCGTTTAATTTGCCTGATTCTTGATTATTGCAAACTTCATCATCAGTTAGTGTGCTTTTTTCTAGGGCATTGTCTCTTAATTTTTTGGATGGTTTTCCAAAAAACGAGGTAAGCGTTCTTTGATCCCTAGGGCGAAGGTCGTTACAATCTTCATCGGGATGTTTTCTTTTGAAATGAGCTTAGTAGTTCTGTTGTATCAATGTCTTGCTACAAACACGGCATTCAACGTCAGTTGTCTTTGCATGGCTGCGACGGTAATGTTCATCCATTTGGGAATAAAGCTGATTAACCACAAATATACTGAGAGAAAATTACATTAAATTATACATGCATTTTGACATCGATGTTGTAAACCTGTAATCTGTATTAACTATGCCACGATGCTAGGGCAATGCAGAGACTAGGAAGGACACTTTAATGACGTTTCCGGTTTCTAAAAAATTTAACGATGAACAAGTTTTTATTTTTTAATTACATTATTAGTGTATTAGACTATTACAGTCACACAAGTTATGAATTTTTTTTCTGTCGTTTTATGCAAATTGTAGATAAAATTGGCATACAATTGTGTAGAAACTACGATGCTCACGATTAATGATTAATCCAACTAAAATTAATGACGTGAATAGTATTAATTAGTTGGATCATAGGCAGCCCAGACTTTGACTTACGCGTGTGATACTCGCGCGCGTGTCGCGCTTACGTTGTTTACTTCGTCTATATATTATGACAAGGTAGGAAAGAGTTTATCAAAATATGACAGATATACCTTCGTAAATGTATAATTATCTAAAAAATTACTTGAAGAAACGCCACAAAAACTACAACCTAATAATTCGCCGATGATTAATTCTGAAGTTTCCATGTTTTTTAACAACATCTAAAGGCTTCAAATTAGCGAAATAAAACAGGAATTCATACGGAATTTTGAGAAAACTATCCGAGGGTCACTCCGCCTAAGGAAACGTCATCTTTTTTGAGATATTAACTAAACGCTCATTGGCTTACCTGCAGGACCACCAATGAGAACCAATGAGCGTTTAGTTAATATCTCAAAACAGATGACGTTTCCTTAGGCGGAGTGACCCTCGGATAGTTTTCTCAAAATTCCGTATGAATTCCTGTTTTATTTCGCTAATTTGAAGGTTTTAGATGTTGTTTAAACATGGAAACTGCAGGGTAATGTAGTTTAATCATGGGTAATTATTAGGTTGTAGTTTTTGTGGCGTTTCTTCAAGTAATTTTTTAGATAATTATACATTTACGAAGGTATATCTGTCATATTTTGATAAACTCTTTCCTACCTTGTCATAATATATAGACGAAGTAAACAACGTAAGCGCGACACGCGCGCGAGTATCACACGCGAAAGTCAAAGTCTGGGCTGCCTATGGTTGGATAAGTGAATAGTTTTAATTAGTTGTCAGTAATCAACACACGAACACAAATTTAACTATACCCCACTTTAAAAAAAACACCTAAAATATTCACAAGTTCTAACCCTTTATAAAAACTAAAAAAGGGCCTTAAAGAAGACAATTGTAGACAAAATAAGAACTCACCTAGATTTTGGAGATGGGAATTATGTAAATGCAAAATTATTAAAAAATTTTTTGCACGTATAACTCATTTTTTTAAAAGCGTTGCAAAATGTGCCTTCAAGAAAGTTGTCTGTTCTGCATTGTGCCTGCATTGTGCATTGTCCCAGCGGTCCCGACTTTTTCGACCCCTGCCAATTTTTACAACATTGAACAACTACTGAAACTACCTGGTGAAATGAAGCAGTATGTTTCCATTGATACATCTGATCCTGCCACATTAGACAAGTTAACTCTTGCTGAAAATCATTTGAATTTGAAAGTTGGTGTGCATGTAATGTTATCGTACAACTTGTCATCTAAACTTACAAATGGGACAAGAGGGAAGATTCAAGCACTGGAAGATGATGGTCCAACTGTAAATTTTGAAGAGGTTGGGCTAACTGTAAAA